ATAAATATATATATATATATCCTCGTGTATCATATAACATACATTATATCTGTTCAGGTTATATATTTCACGGGGAAACTTATATTGTTGTAAGGGTTCAAGGTGCCTTTCCTTTTGCTTTAGAGTCTGATGTTGCCGCATGTTTGGGTCAAATCTGTTTCAATGTCTTTTACTTTGAAGATGACTTTGATGTTTTCACGTTTACTTTACGTTTACTTCAACAGATTCTAAAGCATATTATTGGTGTTTGGTTATCTCTAAAATGTTGTTATGTAGAAAATATATGGATTATGAAAATATTGATTCAACATTTCAACGTCATGGTGATTAAAGCGTTTAATTATACTTGTAATATGTCAGCACAACTATATTTTCGTTATGTGAAATGATTATGCATTGTGTATTAGAAATGAAACGTATTTCTTTAATTAGGATATTGATGTTAGACATGAAATCTGAATTCAACACAAACCAAAAATACTCCTTGTCAATTGAAATGTTTCTAAATTTATCTTAACCATCAGCCATTTGCATTTTAATAACATAATACAATGAGTGAACACATGTTGTTATTCGTATAAATATATTAAAGGCTTTGTTCACATTCAGACCATTTCGATTGCCCTGGCAAGTGAGATCAGCGGTTTGAAATCTTCCTCTACACGATGTTTATGCACAATTTGGGAAAATTGTTAATTTACGGAAATATTTTGTAATATAATTGATTTAAAATGTTCGAAAGGAATATATGTACAAGAAGTCCTTCATCACAGTTTTTTTCGTCAAATGATATCTGTGAGTTTGTCAAAAACCTTTTTTCCAAAAATCAACAACTCAAATACATAATTAAATTAACAGAAAAGAAATTGATTTTTTCTAACCATTCATCCTTATTTTACGATATATAAATACGTCATAGCTAAGCCTTGTTTAAAACCAGTTGCTTTATACCATTACAGCTCCAAACGATCCATTGGACTGTTCTTACTATGCTGAACAATGGTACATACCTCCAGTTGACATCTACCCATCAAAATGTCACCAATACGTTTGGTGTGCAAATGGAGTAAAGCAAGCAAATAAAAATTGTTCCCAGGGACAATATTTCAAGAATTTCACGCAGTCGGCTGAAACGTGTACTTCAGAGTACGAAAACTCGTTCTGTGCAGCATACGGTGAGAGATATTTGGGTTTATCATGTAAATACAAGTCTGTGTCATGCTTTTCGAGAAATTAACTTCTTGAGTGTAATGAACACGTAATATTTATATAAATGTTGAAAAGAGAAAACGGCAAAACAACCAACAGCATGTGTTTGATTTGCAGTTATCGCTATATTTTACAAGGTACTATAATGTAAGTTTTAAAATGTTGCTATAATGTATACGAGAAAGATGTTGGAATCATTTCCTCAAAACAAGACATTTGGCTTAAATATAACTCTTAATTCACATACACATCTTTGTTGTAGGCGAGTTACCAACAACTACTACAGAACCAGGTAAACATGAAACGATACCAATCATATGTGTTTGTTGAACATTTAGACATATCATAAACTGAGCATACGCAAAGGAAAGGATAAAAAGGCAATTGTGTAGTCATGCACAAGTAGGTTTTGAAGTCTTAACCTGTAGCATGTTCATAAGGCATTGAATAGAGCGTTTATGTTTATGGTTATTGCCCGTTACGTTATATTCTGAAAGCGTTGCTGCAACGGAAATAATATATTCCTAAAATACTATACGAAAACCATGTTAATGTTGTTTAAAAATTCCGTGTTATACTAATGTTTGATTTTGACTATCTTACAGTGACAACAGTTTTAACAAGCACAACACCGTCCACTACCACAATCCAACCAGGTTAGTTAATTTGATATATGTTTAATATGATTCTCAGTTTAGAATGAAAACAAGATATGATATATTGTATGTAACTTTAAACTATATCAATTCAAACAGAGTGCTTATGCGATATATTCAGTACGCGTAAAACATTGTCGATAGGTTGTCTCATATTGATTGTTGAACATACACTGTATATGCTCGGTCAGTGTTGAAACTTCTCATAAAATAGCTGCTAGTTGAATAGTAATAGATATACACCAAACCTCTCTTTGCATTTTGATATAAGTATTAACAAATTTCAGAATGAAACGGTTACTGTATTTATTGTCTCAATCTATTCAAATATAAACCCATTGTTGACAAAATACGTGTGTATTAATTGCTATAAATAGTCTCCGACTGTGTAGCGTCATTCAATAGACTAGTATAGCACTAACAAACTACATGGGCAAAGCGTATCATCTTCTGTACCACAATGAATAATTATTCCATTTTGCAGATGTATCTTTCGATCAACCTGAATACGTTGGAATTTTAAGTGGCAGCGGGGTAACAATGACGTGTAGAATCATTACGTCATCATGGAACTATATTGACGTCATTCGTCTCGATTCTGCTGCAACGGACGTGCTGGTTGCGAGGGTAAACGGATCGTTGATTACTCATCCGTTTTCCCCAAGAATCACTGCCAGTGTAACTGGAGGAAATGTTGTCGTTGATTTTACCACTATTCAGTGTGACGACGCGGGAACTTATCTATGTGTATTGAATGCTACAACAGGCAGGATTATATCACCAACCTCAGTCCTACATGTCCGACGTAAGTAAGATTGTATTTCGAAATATCGTAGTAATGAGATTTACAACAAACAATTGATATAAAATGAATTTAATAAAAACATGCTCCTATATAACTTCCTTCTGAAGCATAAAGGGTGCGTATGATAAAAAGTGCTGATGGAAGGTGTTTTCCCCTATAAATACCATTTGACCAATTTGTTTAGTTCGTATATAGGAAACTAGTGAATATATCATAAGCACGCAATAAATAAATCATAATACTGCGTCTATAGAGATGTCCCGGTCTAAAAGAAGAGTGGTTAAGCTCACTAAGCATCAGATTGTCTATATCTGTTGGACGCTTGAAAGATATATTGATGTATATGGCAATGGAGAATTATAGAAACGGGAAAAAAATCAATAAAAAGGAAACAGACAACTAAAATAATGAAGAAATTATGCCATATTCATCGTTTCAATCTCGATATGATAACTGAACATTATCAAAGCAACACATTTTCTATTTCTAGGCCCTCCTTCACTTCCTGTACTTCACTTAAAAGGTCACCAGGTCGTCGGCTCAACCGTCAACTATGTTCACAAACACACATGTACTGGAGATGTGGGTTATCCCGCCGGACAGTTTAAAGTTCAATACGCACCCACAGGGTCCTCTGTATTCACTGACCTTAGCGTGTCAAATACCCAGACTTCACCGAGTGATTGGCTCTGTAACAGTACCGAACGAACGATGGAATACGTAATAGACTTTCAAACAGACATGGAGGGAGGATTGATAAGATGTGCCTTATATAACTCACTCAACAGTTTGACAACATACTCCGATAATACAACTATTGAATTAATTCCAAGTAAGTGAATAAATAGATAAATAAATGAAAACCAGTCGGTGACTCCTATTTTTTTTTATCTATTTTCAGTATGAAATGTTCATTTGTAAATGAAAAGTAATAACGTATTGATTTTTACTTAACAAAATACATTCGCAAAAACTACAACACTAAAAAACACCAATACAATTGGTAGATATATGCGGTTTAAATTAAGTTGATTCTACTTTTATATGACAAAAAGTCTTCAAATCTTAAACTTGTGAAGTAGTGAAAGTTGCATAAAATAAAAAACCATTAAGCATGACGCTTACTAAATTGATTTACTGCAGATTACAGATGGTCGTGCATAAAGGAAAACTAGATATGCAATTAAATGTAAAAATGGCAGATGATAAGTTTCAGTCTCACATGTAGCCCTGTCCGCATCAATATATTTTTTAAAAGTTTACATTCCTGATGATATTTGTGACAGGACAATATTGAAAGTTATACATTATCCAATTAATTGCAGGAAATATGTCACGTGTTATGGACATGTTTTGTGTTCTGGGTTACTCATTTTAAACATTAAGATAAACTCAATACTCAGTTTAATCCAATAAATTACATTTTGATATCAAAAATATTCCATGTAACGGGTGATATATTCATGACCTTTATTTTGAATGTGTTTTATTCCAGGTGATATTTGTACAACGACAGAATTGAAAGTTTTACATCATCCAAAAAACTGCAAGAAATATGTCACGTGTTATGGAACTGCTGAAGGTTTCGACACATGTAATGGGAAGTGTGTGAAGATAGAAAACGGCAATTCTCCAACATGTGTTGACTGTAGTGAAGATGTTTGTCCAAAACCAGGTAATATCTTTATAAAATACATGTATTTCACAATTTAGCAGGAAAGGGACTTTCCAAATATTTCACTCCAAATTCATTGCCTAGATAATGATATCACCATGCATTTAACGTACATGTACAATACCTCGAGGTTTACTTTTAAACAATAAAGATATGAGTTAAATTAAAAAAAAGAAATATTGTGCTGAATAAATTGAACGTACTTGTAAAAATAGTAACTGGTTTGCTTTTTAAAAAAAGAGGAAGGAATAAGTAAGTGTAGCATCTGGGAAAAAATGTGCTTTGAATATCGAATATTGGATGTTTGCAATATTTTATACTAGTCTTTGCTTCATATTTTCAGATGTATCCACTATGACTCCAATGGTAACCACTTCTGGGCCATCATGTAAGTTTCAGTGTGTATACATAGTGAACGGAGATATTAACATGGTTACATCCACGCCGGAGATGCCCACTTAGGGTTCTTGTTTAACATGGATTTAAGCGATGTCGTTCACACCGCTACTTCTGCCAGTTAATACAATTAATTTCCGTTTAAAAACATATATTTGTCACTAAAAAACAGTATTCGCCGATATTTTTGGAACTAAATTTTATTATCGGTAGTGGAACATGCTTACGTCATCAAAACGTTTACTTCATACGAAAGTTAGATGATACTGATGCAATTGCGTCCATTGTTCTATTGCTGCTTTTTATATTATTTTAGTTCCTATTTAATGACTTGCTGTAGGTAGCAAAATACTACAATGTAACTTTACCGTTGTCTTTTGAGTTTACTCTTGACGTTATCATGCCTAAATCTTAGCAGATGCCTATTATTGACTACACGTATTATGATATTATATCGTCTATGTTGAGTACTTAGTGGAGTACTAGGAGTATCCCTGTCATTTGACATCAGCATGATGAATGGTGCCATTCGTATATCATTGATTTATACATATATGTTAAGAAAGACAGCTTTTGAGTAGATTTAAATTTTAAAAAAAACATTTATTGACATTGTCATGTTCTTTCGGTGCTATTCAGTTTTCTCTTTTTTAACAATATTAGGTATTTTAAACTCCGAAATATGGGTCACAATACTAATCTTCAACCATTGACAGTAAAGTGTCTTGAAGACATGTTTGAACAACAATATGTTGTATGTTGTTTTAATCTGTCTAACCTAGAATTTGGTGTAACATCATGATAAGACTATCATTATTATGGATTGATTCCCTCAGTTTCTGATAGGGAAACATTCCCGTGTACTAATTGTTTGTATGCTGTTTACGAGACAGCATTTTCAATTTACTGGAAAATGTATTAAATATACAGAAGATAGCTTTAACGCCGTTCCTTTAAATTTTACAATATGAAGTGCAATAAAATAGTTGATTACTTTTTCAGAACGAAACAAAAAAGATTTGTTAAGTGTTTATTTCAAAGATCCCATAAAAGACCGAAAAATTCAATTCCTTCAAGATTGATTCTCATACGATTTGTGATGCTTTTTATAATTTAATTAGTTTTAGAATCATGTTTATGAGTTAGAGAACAAGAAACACATAGTAAGTTGTTCGTTACTTTCTAGAAATCATAAACACTTCAGTGGAATATCTTCCAAGTACGTACTTTGGTTTTGAAGTTTGGTTTTTGACTGAAAAAGATTTTCATGTTTACTTGCAGCTCTAACATGTGACGATATATCGGGATACGTCGGCGACGCAGCCTTTCTTCAATGTCAGATTGTAAGTAACGATTTCGACATCATCGTCCTTTCCCATTTATCCTCTCCATCGACTGGATCAGTAGTTATGCTATTGGGAAGTCTAACGAAAACATCAGCTGTTGTCACCACGACGGATCCTATTTGGTCGGGCCTTGACCTTGCGTACCACACAGCTGGCTCATTGGAATATATCAACGTAACACTACCGCAAATTGCTTGTGCAATTAGTGGAGTGTTTACTCTAAATTTGACCAATGGCAACCACTCATCGGTGACAACATCACAAATAAACGTGTTAGGTAAGTGTTTTATAATTTAGGTTTTTAGCATATCATATGAAGAAATCGGAAAACGAATATGAAATATTGAAAAGGATAAATGTGCATATAACAACTTAATTAACTGCGCTACTTTTGCACAATATCACACTTAAACATAATTATATTACCACTTAATAGACCTTTTATATCCGACAAGCAAAGGTGAATAACAATTACTTAAAGGAGAAAGTTCTTGTCTTTCAGTAAAACCAACATCACCACCAACAATATCCCAGAGCACATATCTAGATTTCCAGACTGGACAGATTGAGTGTACAGCTGACGTGGGGAATCCTGCTGTCCAAATAACTCTTCACGCCTCAAATGGAAACTCAAACAACAGCTTCGTCGAATTGACGTCACAATCCACTGGTGATGACATACAAGACGGATGTACCTTCACCAGAACGATCCGGTCGACATCATCTCTTGTTTCAATGAATGGAACCGATGTTAAATGTGTGACGTCATTCTCTTATAGCGGAACTAACCTACCCACAACACTGGAATCGAGTTTATTGACAATTCTGCTGATACCCGGTTAGTGTGACAACGAATTTATTTATTTAAATATTATATTTCTGTAAGTCAAATCAGACATATTGAATAAAATAGATAAAATGAAACAAAATAATAATACAAAAGAGTATTTACAATTTTTGTGCTGCAGAAGTTGCTTACATGTATTGTGATCCAATTAGAAAACTTATAGTCCTTATTTTCTTGCAGGTAACATTTGCGACTCTGCCAATGCCACTTTCATACTTCATCCGTATGATTGTCATAAATACATACAGTGCGGGGACAGCACCACCACAGAATTTTCGTGCGCAGCCACAACATGCTTTACCATACCCGGGAACTATTGTGATAATGACTGTATGACTGTATGTCCATAGATGATACACGAAGTTGGATTTACCAAAATCTGGATTTAACAGATAAAAAACATCGAATGGGATTGGAGGCGTGCATGTAGGAATCAATATTCTTTGTATTATGTATGTGAAAGTGTTAGATTTACAGGATCCCTGTTCCACTGCACTGTCGTTTCCCTATAACAGTAACCTCCCCTGAACCTCCAGTTGGGTGTAAATGTAGTCCAATAGTGCTAATACACTTCCATTAACCAGGTAGCTCAATCAGTTACAGAGACAGAATATGTATGGGATAATAATAGTTATTTTTAGAAGAAAAGAAAAAGAAAAAAAAAACAGAAAAAAACAGAGACTGCATTCAAATCTGAAGTCCAGGGTTCAAATCCCGATCTAGCCACGCTTAACTTCATACGCACACAACACTCTTGTTCTTTAGATTTTGTTTATTTCATCTTTATTTCTTATATAAAAGTCCGGGAAGGTATGGTTTTCTTTGAAATGATTTATCAATGTTATAAGCATGCTGATAAAAACAGTTACAGATTTTGGCAGTGGTACCGGGATCCTTAACAAACTTGTATTTATATTATATATGTATATAATAATACTGTATGATGATATATACAATTGTATGCATAAAGCTAGATACTGTATGCAGAGTTCTATATACTGTATGTAACAATCTATAACCTAGATATTGTTTGTAAAATTGTGGAAACATATCGGTACTGCATATGTAAATATATTACCTGAATGAAAACAGTTCCTGCCTGTAAAAATATAGGTACTTATCTTGATACCGTATACGCAGGATAGTGTTATATATTTGGTATATTCACGAATTCTACCTGAAGATTTTAAATTAAATTATGCTACAAACCTAAATAGCACTAAAGGTCTCAATAGCACTACTTATTTGAATAACACTATTTCGAATTATTTTGCATCACTGATAGGTCCGAGAAAAACAAAGCAGCTATATGATGCAGTTTGTTTGGCTTACTACATGTATTAATTACCAATTTTACTATAGTCCAGTCACCTATGTGTATGTTTCACGTTCACCTATCCAAATAGTATTACATATGGATCTCAATAACAATGCATATCTATAGATCACCATACATGTTTCTCTAAATAACGCTATACCTCTAAATAACGTCATATCTCTAAAGAACACTTAACTCTTTATATCATACGAACAATACTGATCTACATAATACAACACGTCTAATAATGTTATTGAGTTTAATATTTTGTAAAACTGCGAATTCGTGAACATATGCACCAATGATGAACTTGCGTTATATCAACAAGAATGCAGTAGTGAAATGGTATAATTAATAAATATATAGTAAGGTTTACTTAGCAAATATATTGTAATGTAATGATATAATCAACAAATGTATAGGAAGGTATACTTTACAAATGCATAGTAATGTAGTGGTATAATTAACAAATGTACAATAAGGTATTATTAACAAATGTATGGTAATGTAATGGTATAATTAGTAAATGTACAATAAGGTATTATTAACAAATGTATGGTAATGAAATGGTAAAACTAATAAATGTACAAAAAGGTATTATTAACAAATGTACAGTAATGTAATGGTAAAACTAATAAATGTACAATAAGATATTATTAACAAATGTATGGTAATGTAATGGTATAACTAATAAATGTATAGTAAGATATGCTTAACAAATGTACAGTAATGTAATGGTAAAACTAATAAATGTACAATAAGGTATAATTAACAAATGTATGGTAATGTAATGGTATAACTGATAAATGTACAATAAGGTATAATTAACAAATGTATGGTAATGTAATGGTTTAAGTGTGCCATAACACATGGTATAACTTACCATTGATAATTGATATTACTGTATAATTATTTCGTGTAAAATAACGGTTTAAATTAACAAGTATACAGCCAAACAATAGTATAATAACCCAAATATAGAAAGCAAGTTCACACAACTTATTCCTACATCATTATAGCTTAAATAAAAGTCTCTTAGAGATCAGTGATTTGTAATATCAACTCGATGTTACTATTTTAGAAACAGTATGTCAATACTCTTGTCATGACTCCGCTGAGATTTTAAAGTCATAATGTTCTTTTGCCAAATACTGTACTTTTCTTTTGACACAGTTTTTTTACATTCCATATTGTTTAATTAACAACATAATTTATCTTTATCTAAAATAGCAATCAAGACCTTTTATTTCGGTGACAATATGTGTATATAGATCTTCGTCTCTGTTAATACATTTTTCTCAGGTTTATATAAATGTAACCATATATTCACCTCGACAAAAATCCATAATATCTTTAAATATCCTGGTATAATATTTACATCATCCGTACATTTTTAGCATGATATGCCAACTCATATACCATTTTGTATAAAAGCACTATCAGTGATACTATAACTTCCTGGTACGTAACAGGAGTTAGTGGACAGATTAAATGAAAATATTATTTTATCATTGTCTTGGATCGAAGTGATTCTGTCGCGATTTCAATTTGTTTGTAAATGTATATATAATCAGTTTGTTATATACCTGCTTAACCCAATGGTAGTATCAGTGCCATAGTTCTAATAACATAGTTTTTTTCCGGATTTGTAGTTTTACAAATTCAACATGCTCACCTTGTTTATGGTCGTTTGTACCAGGTATAATTTCTCGGATTAAACATGATGAATGATGACGGAAATTACATACAGTGCTGGAAACACTTGTGTTCTGCCTCTGTTCTATTCTGGTTTCATGATGCTCTTTCGTTTGCCTCAGTGTAGCATGCGTACTTTTTATAGTATATATCAACTTTGGTTCAAGATGTTTCATTTGTCCTTAAGTGTTGACAACTGGTGCATTTTGTCTGTGTTAAAATTTGCCCTGGTGTGTTGATCTTGGTTGTACATTGCTGTGTTTACGCTGTGGTTTATCTAATCCTTAAGTATTGATGCTGTGGAATATTTTGTCATAGCGTGTTGGCGTTGTGGTATATTTGCCCTTACTCCTTCGTGCTGTGGTAATGTTTAATCTTGTGTGTTGGCGCTCCGATATGTTTCTATTTTAGATTCCGATAGTTCGACTGTTGATAAGTTATCAAAAACAAAAAAGACAATATTGGACAATTTTTTCATAATTCACTTATTTAAGTTTTTTAAGATACGGATTGTTATTATATTTGTTTTTACAGACTAATGAGGTATTTTTAATCTTCGTTAATAACATACATCAATAAAATGTGTAAAGAATAAAAAAAACGTGTTATTGTCATTAAAAACAGAGTCATGCAGTTGTTAAGATGTACAGATTGAGCATTTCAGTTTTAATTGTTTAATATTTGCTACTTTAGTAAACTATTTATAACACTATGTCTGTCTTGCATTTTTAACTTATACTCGTATTTACTGTTATCCAATATGGTACATCCTAACTGTGTAGATACATAATGTAATCTATATTCAAAAGTTAATTTCTAATAATCTATATTTCTGCTGCTCTGATTTCAGTCAATCTGCCATGCACTCGATGATGAGTAACTGAACGATGCATAGATCATATGTAACAAACAATGATTGAATCTCGTGAGATCTTGGTTATAAAACGTGAAAAAAACGCATGATTGCAGACAATCATCATAAAAAGGTTTGAACAATAAATGCACTGTAGCACTGGACTCGTTTATATGTTGGAATTTATAGACTGTCCAACAATAGTTTTCATGTTTACAAAAGCCTGACACACAATCCCTTTTTGTTCTTCAAATTCATTTAAGAAGACCAGGTATATGTCACATTCTCGGTTGTCAAAATCAGATTAATTTTCGTTAACGGTAAAGCAGTTGATTTGCCAAAGGTCATTGTTCCTAGACAAATGTTAGACACTTTTGGTCCCGATTTTCTGTATACCATTTGTGGTGCGTGTGTATCTGTTGTTCCTGCCATCTTTCAGTTTGTCCTATACTGCCCTTTATGCACTATAGATATAGCATGTCTTAAAGTGTCATTTACAATGTAGTACAGAGTTAAAACTGAGGATACCGTAGATCAACGTTTTATCAAATTAAATATAGGAACTCATACAGTTTAAGTCCGGTGAACGATTTTTTTTTATGTTATTATTGACTGCGTTAAATTCGCTATGAAACATTATAAAAGCTAATATACAAGTTCAATATTTTCATATTAAATCTTACCACCGGAGTTTGTGATTATGACGTATCATTCGATTGAAATTAAGGGTGACTACAGCCTCTTTTAATAAGATCTTGTTAAACCTTAAACGTTTAGAAAAATGATAAATGCTTTAATAAGCTTTTGTTAGAGCTGTAACAAAACAACAGGTCTTGTTGTTTTATTTATCTATTTTATTTTTACAGCAATACCCATACAAAACAAGAGCTGTCGGAGAACAGCATAGCTCGCCTGTTGGTGATATATGTTGTAAGATCGCAAATATCAATAGAAACAAATGTACAATAAAACCCGGATATAATGCCCGTCATTTCATTTGCCACCTCACTTACTGCAAATATATTTTCAGGTCCCTTCATTATGGTTTTTTTGAAGAATTATTGTTTATTTTTCCCTCAATTTATCGCCAAACCTCTTTATAAGGCAAATATTTCTTTAAACAAATGATGGCAATATAATAAGGTTTTGCTGTACCTTAAAATGTAAGAAGAGATGACCAACCAACGTGAAATTGTCAACTGCGTATTGATGGTGGTGACTGTTCAAACACTGCAACAAAAAACTTGCCCAAAATCTTTAAGCAGGTCAAACTAACCAGTTTTGGCCCCTAAAATAATGATAACATAATTCAGAACATTGCTTACACTCCATATAAACACTCCAAACGTATCATAGACAACAGTCCATTGATGGTGGTGATCCAACACTACCCAAAAAATCTTGCATTAAACATAACATCAAGCCAACCAAATTTAAACAAGTCCAATTAAGCTGTTTTGTCCCTAAATTGTGCAAATATGGTCCAGCACGTTGCTTACGCTCGATAAAAATGCATTTAGTCATCACAATTTTTTCATTTTATCTCGCTAAATTGAAAAATTCTTAGACTCGTTTCATTAGTCTCATGAAATGGAAACTCATGTAAGATCCTATATATATTTGAAAAACTAGACCTCACTCCAAACCATTGCTATAAGTCACATATAATTGTAAATAATTCATTTAAAGACGGATTTCCCCATAGAATAAAGCTACATCGTAACCATTATGATGTATTTGCGTAATGCGGCTTCTCAGGTTACGATATAGTGAAGCTTTAGTTTTAGTTCTATTCAGATGATACTTTAACGGAGAAATGGATGGGCTTTGTTTTACTTTATTTGGTAGCTTGATCCATAAACCAACAGACGACAGAAGAAATTGTTTTTGTTATACATCTAATTTGCTTGTCTGGTATTTCGGATATATATTTCAAAATGTTTAGGAGGTACAATATCTTATTAGGCAGGAGGGAGTTATAAGATTAACCGTTTTGTGAATTTATGTATTTTTTTGTTTTTGTTTTCACGACGATCTATGAAAAATTCCCAACAAACACCTTTTTAAAAAATATCAAAACTGACAAGCTTTCTAGCTCGGTAACATCTCGAGCAAAATTCTAATATTAACCCACACTGAATCGGATTAAGAACGTTTATTGCATGCAATACATTTTCATTTGTGATAGTTTTATTCTCTCGTATGTATTCTACATTGTGTTCGTTAGGAAGTATACTATTTTCATCATGAAGTTGACTCTGTTGAATTCATTTAATATTACTCGTTTCATTAACTTCTGAATTTCCTAACCGTTGTGTACAAGTATAAGTAATGAATGTGATATTAAGGAAGAGTTTGTAGATTTATTATTATTTCCCACCAGTTACGCATCGTATTCTTACTCTTCAGTTCATAAGTTACAATTTCTATTGCATTGCAGGCTGCATCAAGAAAACGATTTCTATATTGTCCCATTTGTTCATATTTTGTGTAGCTCTGTGCTGAGTGATTTGTGTTTCTAGATCTAATAAGCTGACCATTATGCATCCAAGGAGGGTCATGTTTCGAATGACGATAACTGTATGAGTTATTGTATTCGCAATAGTTTCGCCAACGAACTTGAAAAAGATATAAATCTATTGGTCACCTATAGTATCCAAGTTTATTGTCGATCGCGCGGCGTGATAATCAGCAGGTCTGTTTTTATCCAAACCTTTTTCACGTTTTTGACATTTTACACGTGGTGGTTTTTGTGAAAATGAACTTTGAAGAAATTGGACAGTGATGGTTGATTACACAGAAACAACCGGATTACGTACAAAACATGTTTTGACTATATCGCAATTACTTATAAAAGCATGTTACTGGTGTCATAACTGAGGAAGGAAATTACTTATCTTTCCGAAGCACGTTTTATGGGCGGCACACACGCAGGTAAACACACATAGGGAGATATTAGCCAGGTGGCATAGGACTAGTAATTAGCGCCTGATAAGGTAGTTCCTGCGGAATCCTCAAAATTGTATCGATCAATGTATATGCTAATTATAATAATTGTATATCTATGAACTGTAAAGCGCTTTATAGTGGCTTATGTTAGCTAGATGGAGCGCCATATACAACGTTGTATATTATATGTATAAATATAGCTGTATTACTTGGAAGACTTTCTCTTGCTTGTTTCTACTAGGTGCTTATATGTTTTTCAATCAATTTTTCACTAATAAGTTTGTAATATTGATGCAGTGATATATTTCGATGATTGCCGTTGAAAACTGACATTGTCACGATTGTGAATGAACCAACTCAATATAGTTACAAATTAGATTGGTCCCAATTATGTTCCTAGAGTGCCTAAACCAATACTGTACTGATGTGAAGCACGCGTGAATTGTTATTACAATATTTATCAACAACACACAAATATTTCATTCATTACATTTTTGAGACTCGATAAAAAATGATTTGTTGTTGAAAATAATAAGCATCATCGTAAAGTCGCCATTTTTGCACCGTTATAAAGTACTATTTGAAGTCACCTAAAATACACTAGTTATGATGTATTGGTTTGGTTTTATTTTGTTTAACGTCCTATCAACATTTAAGGTCATTTAAGAACGTGTCTCCATGAATGTTGTGCATGCGTGCTTGCTTGCGAGTGTGCAGGAGGCAGGGTATGTTGGTGTAGTTGTCTCCGTGTGATAGCGCGAATTTTGATGCTGACTTAATAGTGCTATCTCTCTGAAATACCATGACGAAGTCACCCAGCACATCTTGCCCGGTCACATTATTCTGACAACGGGTGAATCAGTTGTTGCCATTACCCTTTATGCTGCACGTTAAGGATGGAATAACAACTAATATTTTCAAGAACTTTGGGATGAAACAAACAGAATCACCATTGGTCCAGTTACTGTTGCATTCGCGTTCGATTCTGGTGTTGCAGCATTAGTTTGAATAAGTGTACTATCATTTGTTAATTTCTGTGGGTATTTAGCCAATCAGTGTGATCCTTGTAAACAGCATTGCGATACCAGAATTAGTATTATAATCAACTCATTACTCCAAATGGGCTACAGAGGCAATATGATCTAAACCAAATATTCCTACCTGTTCCACTTTGATAAGCTATGATGTTATACTGTATCTGTAAATTCTGTGCAAATGACTGAATATGAAACTGAAAATATCGATACGACAGATTTATCCTCAAGCTATTTTTATTTCACGATTACATAAATGTACATACATGTATAGTGTTGAATGACAAATAAAATATGTTTAAATCAATATGTAGTGTGCATATCACAGATAAATTGATTTGATAGATTAACAGATATGTAAAAAAGAATCTGAATGTTTTCAAACTAATCAATTTGTATATGATCAAGGGGAAACAAAAGAAAGAAAAAAGGGGAATGTCCTATGCATCCACCTCTGCTTGTCATATAGCGAAATGACAAGACATGGTATGGTTACATTTTTCATTTGGAATAAAGAGAAACTACAAGTGATTTTATTTTAATTTCCCAATAATCATGTTTTTAGACGAGGTGATAAAAGGGCATTCCATTGATAATTGCTTAAGTAGGTATTAAAAATGCAGGCAACTGCTCCAACTTAATACAGGTTTAGGTTTCTTATGGTATGTTGAGTCATGGAGGTATAACAAGAAAACATATGTTTTCTGAGTAGCTAAGGTGTAACTTATCAAGCTCAATGCAATTCCTAAACCAAAATATTGCCCAAACGGTTAACATTTAAAATTTAAAAAAAAATACGTTGAGGATTGGACACATATTTTTGAGGTTATCAATCTTGATGCGTTTCTATGTATTGGTTGTTACTCTTGTGTATTTTCCACAAAAGACGACGTTCCGAGGAATGGGTTTTTCCTGTCTTTATTGTGGCGGAAGACCAATTCGTAGGGATAAGGCAGTTCCACACTTGAAGTTTTATCTAGTTCATCCATCTGTAATATTAAATTATTCAATCTAGATGTATATATGCACATATTTACATTGAATTACATATTCAATAAATCTATATGATATTTTCACAATTTTTGAAAACATGACAAAAATTCATACCTTCATACTGAAAAAATCATCAATTTATGATTCAAAATAATAATCAATTATGGACTTTCATGGAGGTGAATATGTGTTTATATGGACCTATATATATACAGAAAAAAACTTTAATCGTTATATTTCATGCCAGATTATGTTTTAATAATGATAAAAAGTGTTGCATTTGGATGTAAGCAATGTGACATTCAACAATTGAAATAACACCATAAAGTTGACCTGTTATTTCTAAAATTAGTAACATCACAGGTCATCGACCGCCATATGAGTATGACCCCCCCCCTTATACTTATACCTGATACTTGCTGGATATCCCAGACCTAACATCGAAGATACACTTTTGGGTTCATCTATAACTATAAATGTTGGTCTTAACCAGTTAACTGTGGACTAAAATCAATCTGCAGTAATATATCTGTTTTACAACCGTAGTTTTCACACACCTCCTCTGTGGTAAGCGTCCAGCCCGTACCAGCTCCCATATTGTCCTCCAACTGTTTGATTGAGGTGACACCGATTATCACTGACGACACCACATTCTTCTGTAGAAGCCACCTCAGTGCCACCTGGGGTACACTTTTACCTACAAACAAGAACATAGACAGCATATCAGTACGGACTAACAAATGTGTGATTTGAAGATAAACGTAAGAGAAGAATAAACAATAGCAATGTCTCTTCCATCAAAAGAAAAGTTAACAAAAATTCATACAAATGTGATAAAATGTAACACTCTGTGATGAAATAGATACATGTATTTGTCAGTATATTTTTCCAAGACTGTGACGAGTCGAGTTCATATGTTCATTGCAACTAGAATATTACAGCTTCAACTTAATTGTGAAATACGGCAATTGTGAAAAAGAAAACATAGGACAAAAATCAGTTCTACAGTGAAATTAACCTCTTTTTCTGTATCTTCAATAACTCTGGCCAGGCTTACCATGGTTAATGGCCATTTTGGACATGACGTCCACAAGGTTCCAGTAAAAATCATTATCTTCATACTTGCTCCAGCCAGGACTGCTCTGGACTGACCTACTTGACTCCTTGGCGGCGGTAAACCCAATCCTAGAACCGTCACTTTCTGGTTTGGCCCCACGCTTGAACTTTCCTGTTAACAATCCCCTGAAGGACAAAATGATGGGTGAGCATATCTATATACTCATGCAACACTATTAGATCATCAATCTTGCTTAGTGCAAACTATAAATTGTCGACAAGGCTAGTTACTACATGTATGTGCTTACCCTTTCAATGGACTCCAGGGAAGTACACCGACACCTTCATTCCTGCACACCTGAAACTCCTCCAACTCGGGATGGCGACATAACAGACTGTATTGTTGCTATCAACACAAAATCAATCAAGTACAAGTTATTTCAATAAGATTCATCAGTCTTGAAATATGTATATCAAAGTTTTACTTTCTACACAAACAATGAAAGCATTAAACGTGTCGCAATGTTTCAAGACCGACTGGTCCCTTTGTCAAGCTTTGACTCATAGCTGATAATTGAGTCGTAGTTTCACAAAGGGGTCAGTGGGTCTTGAAATGTTGCAACACGTTTTAAATACGTATATTGTTTGTGTAGAAAGTAAAACTTTGATATACATGTACAAGTACAGTTAATTTCAACATCCTCATCATTAAGGAATTTAACATTGATCTCTTACACATGAATTAATGATAAAAGAAAGGGAGGTCCAACTCTCTTAATGCATAAAACATGACAGGGTTCTTCTGTGGATCACTAGGGGATTAACTTGAGATCCTTACTACACCGAAACAGCATTTCATGTTTAATATTCACAGATGAGCCATATTTAAATTAATAGGAAACTAACACAAATATGTAATTATTAAGCTTCAAAATGAGATATATTCTACTTTATATTGATTATCTGAGAAAAAAGGGAAAAAATAAAAAACATAAAGGAAATAAGTTGTCCTTAATATTTAGTAAAAGAGGCAATGTATTCTTTGTATTGAGTAAAGGAAACGTGTTCTTCATTTTGAGTAACGAACGCAATTCATACTTTATAGTGAGAAAAGGAAAAAACTATTTTTGTATTCGTGTGTGCAGTAAACATGATCAGTTCTTAAATTTGAGTAAATTCATATTTCATTTTAAGTACAGGAAACATGTCTTCAATTTTGAGTACAGTAAGTGTTTTGTTTCATGGGCTGATATTCATAACACGAACACAGCGTTATGCTCAAGTCAACAATGAGCTTTTATCCCTCAGAACGAGGCTCATAACATCAGTACAAACAAGTCGATAAAGTGACTCAGATTACTACAACTCCATTTCTTTTGAGTTTTGTAACTGGACATCAAACTATTTAGTTAACAAATATTTCAATTTATATTCTGGTTTAGATACATGAAAAGAAACACAGTTCTATATCTGAGAAAGTGTTCACGAATGTTATCTCCTAAGAATTAGCACCGTTATGACTAGAATATATGGTATCAAAAATAAAAATAAAATTATTGTCAAAGTCATTTGTCTCCTGGACTTTCTTGATCCTTAAGTACAATAAATGTGCTTATGAATCAAACTGAACTATGCAACACTACTACATTAAGTATTACTACACTAAACAAAAACATATCATTTAAGAAATTCCACTTAATGGAACTAAACACCATATTGGGGATTATTATGCCCCATTTTCACAAAACACATCACTTCACATTTCGAAATCATCATATTTCTTTGGCATGTTGATGATTCGTCCACTTCTTGTAGCACGAGTGGTCATTCCTGTACTAGACTCTGGTCGCGACTCTCCTACTTGAATCTTTGGGGTGTTTTGCGAGTCGTCCAGTTGTGTGTGAGTGTCTTCCAGATAGTCTGCCACATCCGGTTCACTGATTTCCGGCTTGTTTTCTGCAGTTCTTATTATGTGTTTTCTGTTGCGTCGGTATTGCTTCCCTTGTGGTGTTTTGACATGGTATGATCTTGGTGATGGACTGTGCATCACCTGACCCCACTGCCATTGGTCATTATGCCGAAAACGTACAGCCTCATGTGGCTCCAGTTTTGGTAGTTCCTTAGCTGCTTTATCATAATCATTTTTTGCTTGCACTGGGTTAGCTCCCTTGTCTGACATATTAATGAACGGTCTATGATCTCTGGTTGTAGTCTTTTTCTGTTGATTTGAATGATGTATTACAACTCCCTGCTCATGAGTAGTTTAGCTGGTGAGGGTGTGTTTGTCGGCGTATTGCGATACTCGAGAAGACCAAGATAAGGATCTCTGTTATCCTTTCTGGCTTTCTCTAACAGCCGTTTCACAGTATGAACACTCTTCTCTGCTAGGCCATTACCTTGAGGATAATATGGGCTAGATGTTGAGTGGCGAAAACCCCAGCTGTCTGCGAACTGTTAAAACTCTCCTTAGCTGTATTGTGGCCCATTGTCACTTTTCACTTCATCCGGTAGCCCATGGCGAGCGAATATGCATTTTAGATGTGTGATGACAGTGCGACTGCTAGTATTCTCAAGTTTGCTGATCTCGAAATACCGTGAGTAGTAGTCTGTGGCGATCACATAGTCAGTATAGTCCCATGTGAATAAATCTGTTCCAACCACACTCCATGGATTCTCAGGTACCGGTGTGGGTATTAATGGTTCCTTTTTATTGGCTAACTGGTGGTCCATACACACACTACATTTTGATACCTTGTCAGCTATTTGACTATTCATGTCTAGCCAGCAGAATAGTAGTTCTCGTGCTCTCCGTTTGCTCTTTTCTATTCCCATGTGTCCCATGTGGATTTTTTCTAGCATCTCTGCTTGGAGTTTTCTCGGAATCACTATGCAATTTCCTCGAAGTATGATTCCGTCTACTATTATTCTTGTAAGGCCAAAAATCTTGAATCTTACTTGGAGCCTCATAACGGTGAGAAGGCCATCCGGTTTCTATCATTTCAAACAACTTCTGTAGGTTCTCGTCCTTTGAGGTCTCCCCACGAATCTCCTCCATCTTTTCGTCAGATACTGAAGTGTTCCCCATTACTGTATGTACATGACACTGTATTACATCCTCCAAATCATCCTTGTGATTGGTGGTCCTTGGCAAGTAAGCCCGTGACAGTGTATCAGCTACAAGAAGCTGTTTACCTGGTTTATACACCAGATCAAATGTATTCCTCTGAAGTCTCAGCAGTATCCTCTGCAGTCGTGGAGGCGCTTGTGCCAACGGTTTCTTTATAATAGCCTCTAACGGCTTGTGATCGGTTTCAACGAGTATACTGGTACCGTATGTATATTGATGGAAACGCTCCAAACCAAACAGCATAGCCAGTAATTCCTTCTCTATTTGAGCATACCGTGTCTCGGCATCAGTCAAAGCCCTCGATGCGTATGCTATTGGTTCTTGGTCTTGCATCACTACACCTCCGAGACCGGACTTTGAGGCATCTACACTGACTGTAACAAGTTTCCTGACATCGTAGAAAGTGTGTACATGTTTACTCGACTGAGTGTCTTTTATTTTCTTGAATGCCTCCTCTTGTTCTCGAGACCATTCAAACTCGTTGTCCTTCCTCATTAAGACTCGGATAGGTTTTGTCACATCTTTGCCAGGTAATTTACAGTTCCAAGCAATCTTTCCGGTCCTTTTTTGTCTATGGGAGCCGGCATCTGGGTAATAGCCTTTATACCTTGTCTGGATCTGGACGTATACCAGTGTCCGTCAATCTGTGCCCGATGTATTCAACCTCTCTTGCTGTGAATACACATTTATCGCGGTCAAGAGTTAGACCTATCTTCTGACATCTCCTCAGCACTGATTCCAGCCTGGGGTTGTGTTCCTCAACATTCTTTCCCCACACCAGAATGTCATCAATATCTGTCTCGACACCTGGAATGTCTTCAAAATGTTGTGCAATGCGTTTTTGAAATACCTCCAGGGCACTTTTTATTCCAAACGGCATTCTTAGGTAACAGTACCTTCCAAAAGGCGTAGAGAATGTCGTCATTTTCTGGCTCTTGTTATCCAACGATATCTGCCAATATCCATGATTAGCGTCAAGCTTGCTGAATACCTTTGCCCCAGTTATTCTTGTGGTTATCTCTTCTATTGCTGGCAGGTGAAAATGGCATTGTTCAGATTTCGTGGATCCAGACAAATGCGAAGTTTCCCAGTTTTGGGTTTTTCCACAAAAACAATTGAGTTAATCCAATCAGTAGGATCGTCTACTTTTCGTATAACCTCTTCCTTTTCCATTTCCTCCCGCGTCGTACGGAGTTTTTCACGAAGTGCGGCTGGGACCTTTCTGGGTGGATTGATAACTGGTGGCACGGATTTATCTAAACGGATTTGATATGTGTCCTTGAGACAACCCAATCCTGTAAATACCTTGGGGTATTTCTCAAACAGTTTGTCATCACTCTGACCTCCAAGTTCTGTGCTCAAAACCACTTTTATTAATCCTAACTCCTGCGAGGATTTGAATCCTAGCAAAGGAACTTACTTGGTGTTGGTCACGAAGAAATCTAATAAATGTCTTTGGTAAGGAATGGAACACCTTCCAACTACTGGCCGTTTATCTCCTGTGTAGCTTGTCAGAGTTGTGTTAGCCTTTGATAGAACAATATCAGGCTTGACTCTCTTTATCATCTCCAGGGGAATGCCATTAGCTTAGGATCCAGTGTCTACTTTAAACTTAACTGTGGTGTTTATCAATTTGAGATTGACCACCATCTAATCTTATTTCAGCTCAGTTGAATTAACTGCACCTATGAATAGGTCTTCCATGGGCAGGTCTTCAGAGATTGTGTGGACTTGTGTGGTCTCTGTTGATCTACACATTTTTTGGAAATGATTCAGTTTGTGACATCTTAGACACTTTGTGCCATATGCTGGACACTGGCCCTTTGTGTGTAAAATACCACATTTACTGCACGTGTATACCACATTTGGTTTACGGTTCTGTCCCTGTGCCTATCCTGGACCTTTCCTGACTGATTTCTGATTGTAGACTTTAGCACGAACTTGTTTGTGTTTGTCATAAGACTCTTTTGTTACTGCTGCGGCGCATACCTCTTCTCCGGAGTCTTGTATCGTTTTCATTCTGATTTGCGACTCCTCATTGTCTCTACAGATGGTCAGTGCTTTAGCTAGAGTGAGTTCATTGTCTCGTAATAACCTTTCCTTAACTTTGTCGGAGGCTACACCACAAACCACTCTATCACGAAACATTTCATCTTCTAGAGTCCCAAATTTACAGTTCTTAGCAATAACTCTTAGTTCCGTCATATATTGATCAACTGTTTCTGTTTTACGTTGCGCCCTCGCTCGTGTAGAACCTATGATGCCATACGGTAATGTTTTCCCTAGGTGCACAATAATCTTGGAATTTCTTGAATAGAGGTCCAATTTTGTCATTCTCCTCTGCTAGGAAAGTGAGCGTATTAAATATATCCCTACCTTCTTGTCCAATTATGTACAGAAACGCCGAAAATTTGTCCTTTTCTTACCTCCCGTTCATCGCAATATCGATGTAGAGTCTCATTGTTTGCTCCCATCTTCGCCATTTTTCCGGCAAGTTTCCATCTGTCGTGGAGAACGTTAGCTCGGGTGGCGGACGGATGTGTTGTTCCATGTTGATTCAATGTTTTAATCCCCATTCTGACACCATGTTTTGTTTCATGGGCTGATATTCATAACACGAACACAGCGTTCTGCTCAAGTCAACCATGCGCTCAGAACGAGGCTCATAACATCAGTACAAACTAGTCGATAAAGTGACTCAGATTACTACAGTAGGCAAACTACCAGTATACACTCTATCATAATGAGAAATGGAAACATTTCATTATATTATAATAGATACAGGAATTATATTGAGTTCTATATAGTCTGAAATAACTGACTTTCTTCTTTTAACATTTTTTTTGACGGAGCAGAAATTAAAATCTTAAAAGGAGAGAGTTGCTTAATTTGGACTTCATTTTATAATGAGGACAAGGAACACATGTTATACTTTATATTCAGTAAATAAAACAAATTATACCAAAAGTATAAACCTGCTTGTATGTTCACATTATAATTGAAGAAACACTAGTGCTGGTACATTTAAACCAAACTGAAAATTGAAGCATCATATACTTACAACAGTAATGTATTCTATTACCCTTACATACAGACCAAAACAATATTGTTTACCTGTAGACCTATGATGGAGTTGATTCCCATTGCTTCCGCTTTGTCGACAATCTTCTGCATCTGCCAGCCTGTGACATTGCAGACGCCCACATAGCGAACCTTGCCGCCCCTGACAAGGTCATCCAACGCCCGAAGGGTTTCCTCTATGGGGACTGCCGAATCCCAACCATGAGTCTGCAATGATGCATTGATTATGTAACGCAAGCTTAATGTATGTAACTCGTTTAAAATAAGTCGCATGTGACATGAATATTATGATGGTGGTATGATTAGGGGACATAAGTCCCACCAATTAAGAGAAAAATAGTGTTGGTCAATAACATCTGAGTATGGCTACTATATGTATATCAATGGACTTTCATGAAATCAAGATCAAAACTGTAGGGAGGCGTTGTGTGGACAAACTTTAACTAAACACAATCTTTGACTAACTTTGCAAAGAAGGGGTATAACTCCAACAAAAGATAACAGAAATAAAAAAACATGCATAGGTACATAACTTGAAAGAGCTGTGGAGGCTAAAAAAAGGATAAAGCTAAAGGAGAAATTTCTTATACAAGATCAAGATCCAGCTATTAAAATTGTTAAAGGGGAATAACTCCCAACAATATACCAGGATCAAGAAAGTGAGTGTATGTGCCTTCATTCAGAATGCATGTATGGTAATAACATGAGTGGAGATTCACAAAATCTTACAAAAACTGTAGGACTTATCTGGATATGACTCCAGCTACAGACAGATGGACGGACAAATTGACAGACGGACAGACAGATAAACAGTCAACCCGATTCCAGTATACCCCCTTGTTGCCTTGTAACAGGATATGCAAAAAAAAGATCATTTATCAAAACATTTGATTTTGTAAGCAAATGGTGTTGTTTTTTCATTAATTGATTTAAAAGTCATTTTTTACTTTTTTGTTATGTCCCCTTCCAATGAGGAATTTCCTAAATACATTCATCCTCAATTTAATAGTTCTGTATGGGACAATTTTCTAACAGTCAATTCTAAACTCTTGATTCCTTTTCTATGATAGCAACAAGGCGATGTTTTAAACTATTGATTTATTTTCTATCAAGTTTTTAAAAAGAAAATTAAGCAAATTAACTCATTCACCCCTGAAGACACATTTGAACCCTTCCAATTCAAAGGTTGGAAAAGTTCATTCAGAAATTTCAGGGGTGAATGTGTTAATACTTTTCAAGCTTACCTGGTAGAGGTCAATATAGTCAGTCTGCAGGCGTCGAAGGCTGTCTTCACACATTTGTAGGATATGTCGTCTGCTCAGACCGGTGTCATTTGGACCTGATCCCATCATAGCACGGACTTTTGTTGCTATGACAAAGTTTTCTCGTTTTTGTCTGAAATTTACCAATTTTTATAACTTGAACTAATCCGTACAAGTTTGAAATCATATTTCACAAATGAATTGTATAATGTATCAACACCTTAACTGTTTAACTCAGTCACCACTGAAGAAATTTTTGATCTCTTCCAATTCAAAGGTTGAAAGAGTCCATTATGATATTTCGGATGTGAACATCCATGAGAGAAATATATTTCTCGTAAGAAATTTAAAAATATGTCAAACTATCTGTAAATGTATAGGCTGACAAAAATGAAAGATAAAATTAGAAACAAGAAAAATACGAAACAAATGACACTTTTATGGGACTTATATCCAGAGAAGAGGGAATTGCATGGTAAATGTTTGGTACACACACATTAGTATTTACATAAATATTCAATTAAAAATATTTGTATAAGCAACCATACGAGAAAAAAACCCAGAAAACGTCCGAACTGCGTTGAATATCCCATTGAAAATGGTGCGCGGCCTTGTTGTCAAGTGTGACGCCATTATGGCGTTCATCATTACGCTTCTGATTCCTGCCCTTTTTATGCATTACATTTTTCATGTTTTACGCTTTAAAAATGTAATAAATAGAAAATTACGCACTCGTGAAAAATATCAAAATACTAGCCACACTCGTGAAATACATTTGTTATTACTGAAGACATCATTAAATATCCTCTATTTATATTTGCAGTTTGAAAGAGTAGTGTATATGCTTCATTTGGTTATTTTGAAAAGTTCTTTGAACAGCAAATTCAGTCTTGATAACAATAAAATTGATGACGTCACTATAGAGATTGATGAACTTACAATATCAAATGTCTAATAACAACATTTGCCTTCTCAATGCATTGCAAAAGAAAGATGCATAGCAAATGTAAATATACATGCATAAAGAGTTGTCTGTCTGGCAAAAATTACACAGTATTCGATTTGTATGTTTGATCACCCTGAATAACCATTTATGGCAACATGCTACAGCTTACGAATATCATTCACGACTTATATGATAGTAGCTTAAAGATTTTTAATATGTTTTGCGCCTGTGACTTGACACTAGGTCAAGGTTGTTCAGTTTAAAATCAAATTTCAGAGCATATCATTGTGTTTACAACAAAACACATATTCAGAATAACATGTTTATTTCATAAAGCCAGTGACTTTGAAAGTTGATCAAGGTTATCCTTCAAATATTTATTGGTAGCCCTCAATACTAGACTGATAGGAGTGTACTAGAAGGGCAGGAAGTGTATGTACCAGACAGACAGGAACTATACAAGTAAAAACAGAAAGTTTTCTAGACATACAGACAAGCAGTATACTAGACCGGTAGGAAATGTACCAGACACACATGAACTATACAAGATAAACATAAATTATTCTAGACAGACAGGAAGTGTACCTGATAGACAGGACCTACACTAGTTAGACAGGAAGTGTATCAGACAGACAGGGCATACATTAGACAGACAGGAAGTGTACCAGATAGACAAGATATACATTAGACAGACAGGAAGTGTATCCAGATAGATAGGATATACACTAGATAGACAGGAAGTGTACCAGATAGACAAGCTATACATTAGACAGACAGGAAGTGTATCCAGATAGACAGGACATACACTAGATAGACAGGAAGTGTACCAGATAGACAGGAACATACACTAGACAGACAGGAAGTGTACCAGATAGACAGGAAATACACTAGAAAGACAGGAAGTGTATCCAGATAGACAGAACATACACTAGACAGACAGAAAGTGTACCAGATAGACAGGACATACACTAGATAGACAGGAAGTGTATCCAAATAGACAGAACATACACTAGACAGACAGAAAGTGTACCAGATAGATAGGAAATACACTAGAAAGACAGGAAGTGTACCAGACAAATAAACCCGCACCAATACTATATAAACTATCCAAAATGTGCACCTTTCAGGTATTAAAACCCATAATTGTTATTTTTTACTACCTCTCGCTTCAAAATTTAACAAAATTAAAAAAACAAAAAACAAAAATACAAAAAAATATCCTGTTTTCTCCCAAAATTTCCCGAAGAACTATTGATCAAATTGGTGTGGCCTGGGTAACAATTGTCTTCATCACCGAGAGGAATGATTTATCTCCTATATACCCATACGTTCTTTTGGTAAAGATACTACATGTTCAATTGGTGAACCCAATACATACCATCAAATTAAATTGTGCTTGAAGTTTGGGTTTAAATTCATGACACAATCTTTTTGTGAATTGGGGTCTTTTGCCTAAGAGTTATGACACCGTCTTAATTAAAACTGACGGCATTTTGTTTTAGGAGACAAGTGTAAGCTGTCTTTCAAAAGGTAGAGAAAGACTAATTGAGCATTTTCTTTTCAACAAAAACTGAAAATACATGTACTTGTGAGTTGTGGGAGAATACATTTAACGTATAGACTGAGGGAATGCCACATGGTCTGATATTTAAGACTCAAACGTTTGAATAATTCTGTCTCACCACCAAAATGGAGAATTATTTTTTTTTCCCTACAAGGAAAGTGTGTGTCAAGGTCACTCATTTGAGCAAAGTGATAACTCTTGATCCCAGTAAGTTATCAACCAAAATACCATTAGATATTTAGAAAAAAATAATTGAACACATTTGAAAACTGAGATATTGGAAGTAAGGTAAAGGTAATTTATTTGAACACTTTTAAAAGTCATATAGTCAGGCGGTGTATACTAGATGGACAGGGGTATTGAGAGAGATATGAATACGTGTACAGTGTACTAGTCAGACGCGGTGTATACTAGACGGACAGAAGTATTGAGAGAGATATGTATACTTGTACAGTGTACTAGTCAGACGCGGTGTATACTAGACGGACAGAAGTATTGAGAGAGATATGTATACTTGTACAGTGTACTAGTCAGACGCGGTGTATACTAGACGGACAGGGGTATTGAGAGAGGTATGTATACTTGTACAGTGTACTAGTCAGAGACGAAGTATAGAGAGCATGAAAGTATACTCTATACAGCAGATGGGAATAAAGCTGGAAAAAATCTTACTTTTTCAGCCAGGTACCGACGATTTCCTCTGATAAACCCTTGCTATATACATTGGCTGTGTCTATAAAGTTCCCTCCAAGGTTCACAAATCTGTCCATGATAGCATGTGACTCTGCTTTATCTCTTTGTGTGGGTCCATGCTTTATCAATAAAAACTACATTAATACTTTACATATTTACGGTATATATAACATACAAAGTTGTAGGTGTCTGGGGTTGCAAATAATGATGTCTTAAGCATGAAGATTGAGAAAAGGAGGAAGAAATGTATCCGAACTGGACTGGGTCGATTTCAAACGACCAGATTCAAACTACTGCTCAATTGGTAGAGCGTCCGTCTACTATCTGGTGTATTTCTTGCCGTATAGTATGTTTCTTGTCTTTCTGAATATTTCTTGCATGTGCATTGTACAGTATGTTTCTTGCCTAGCTGGTATATTTTCTTACCAGTTCGGACGGTTCAGTGTGCATTTTTGTGTTTGTATTGTGCACTGCTTTGTCACTGAAACAAAATAAGGAAGGGTGAATATCAATTATAATAAAATGAGCACAAACCTCCATCGCAGTTGATTTGCCAAAGGTCATTGTTCCAAGACAAATGTTTGACACTTTTAGTCCCGATTTTCCAAGGAATCTGTAGACCACTTGTGGTGCGGGTGTATCTGTTGTTCCTGCCATCTTTCAGTTTATCCAATACTGCCCTGTATGCACTATAGGTACCTCGATGATATAGCACGTAGGGGTCGTCTTAAAATGTCATTAACAATGTAGTACAGATGTAAAACTGTTTATACCGTAGGTCAAAGTCTGAGAATCTTTTTATCTAAAGCTTTAGGTCAGATCGACCTTTATCTTTTACCTTGAGCTTTAGATAGATTGAGAGGTTTAACGTTCAACAAGACCCCTGAAAGAGGCTATTGTATATCTAAATTTCAACCCCTGGATAGGTCATATTAAAGACGCAAATTAAATATAGGAACTCATACAGTTTAAGTCCGGTGAACGATTTTTTTTATGTTGCCTTACTATCGACTACGTTAACTAGTGTACAATTTCAATATTTTCAAATTAAATCTTACCATTAGGGTTTGTGATTACATGTATGACTTATCATGCGATTGAAATTGAGGGTGACTACAGCCTCTTTTAATAGGATCTTGTTTAATCTTAAACGTTTTGCAAAATGATAAATGCTTTAATAAGCTATTTTTAGAGCTGTAACAAATCAACAGGTCTACCTTGATCATTGATACAACTTAAACTGAAGTATCATAAACAAAGGTACTAGTCGGACACAACTGACTCTCTTAGGTTAAACAACGTTTTTATTTCTTTAATATTTTACAGCTATACCCATACAAAACAAGAGCTGTCGGAGAACAGCATAGCTCGCCTGTTAGTGATATATGATGTAAGAGTACAGTAAAACCTTGATATAATGCCCGTCATTTCATTTGTCACCTCACTTACTGCAAACATATCAGGTCCCTTAATTGTGTTTTTCTGAAGAATTCCTTTATATGTTTCCCTCAATCTATCGCCAAGCCTCCTTATAAAGCCAACATTTCTTTAAACAAATGATGACAATATAACAAGGTTTTGCTGTACCTTAAAATGTAAGACGAGATAACCAGCCAACGTCAAATTGTCAACAGCGTATTGATGGTGATGACTGTTCAAACACTGCAAAAACACTTGCCCAAGATCTTTAACCAGTTTTGGCCCCTAAAATAATGAAAACATAATTCAGAACATTGCTTACACTCCATATAAACACTCCAACCTTATACTAGGCAACAGTCCATTAATGGTGGTGATCCAACACTACAAAAAAAACTTAACATCAAGCCAATCAATTAAGCTGTTTTTGGCCCCTAAAATGTGCAAATATGGTCCAGCTCATTGCTTATACTCGATAGAAATGCCTTAACACGTCACGAATTTTTCATTGTATCTCACTAAATTGAAAAATTCTTAGACTCGTTTTATAAATCTCATATGAAATGGAAACTCATGTAAGATCCTATATATATTTGAAAAACTAAAACTCACTCCAAACCATTACTATAAGCCGTTAGATCTAATAAGTTTACGTTTGTCATTATGCATCCAAGGAGGGTCATGTTTCGAATGACGATAACTGTATGAGTTATTGTATTCGCAATAGTTTCGCCAAGGAACTTGGGAAATAGATAAATCTATTGGTCACCTATAGAATACAAGGTTACGGTCGATCGCGCGGCTTGATAATCAGCACGTCTGTTTTCATCCAAACCTTTTTAACGTTTTTGACATTTTACACGTGGTGGTTTTTGTGAAAATGAACTTCGAATAAATTGGGCAGTGATGGTTGATTACACAGAAAAACCCCGGAGTACGTACAAAGCATGTTACTAGTGTCATAACTGAGGAAGGAAATTACTTATCTTTCTGAAACACGTGTTAAGGGTGGCACACACGCAGGTATACACAATTAGGGAGATATAAGGCAGATGGCATAGGACTAGTAGTTAGTGCCTGAAAAGGCAGCTCCTGCGAAATTCTCAAAATTGTGTCGATTAATGTATATGACAATTGTAATAATTGTATATATATGCGCTGTAAAGCGCTTGATAGTGGCTTATGTTAGTTAGATGGGGCCCTATATAAAAAGTTGTATATTATGTTATTATTATAGCCGTATTAATTGGATGACTTTCTCTTGCTTGTGTCTAGTACATGTAGGTGCTTATATGTTTTTCAATCAATTATTCACTTATAATTTTGTAATATTGATGCAGTGATATATTTCAATGGTTGGCGTTGAAAACTAACATCGTCACGATTGTGAATGAACCAACTCAATATAGTCACTAATTAGATTGATCCCAATTATGTTCTCAGAGTGACTGAACCAATGCTGTATTGATGTGAAACACGCGTGAATTGTTATTACAATATTTATCAACAACACACAAATATTTCATTCATACCATTGTTTGAGACCCGATGTTGTTGAAAATAAGCATCATCGAAAAGTCGCCATTTTGGCACCGTTATAAAGTACTATTTAAAGTCACTTAATATACAGTAGTTATGATGGTTTGGTTTGGTTTTATTTTGTTTAACGTCCTATCAACAGTTAAGGTCATTTAAGAACGTGTCTCCATGAATGTTGTGCATGCGTGCTTGCTTGCGAGTGTGCAGGAGGCGAATTTTGATGCTGACTTAATAGTGCTATCTCTCTGAAATACCATGACGAAGTCACCCAGCACATCTTGCCCAGTCACATTATTCTGACAACGGGTGAATCAGTTGTTGCCATTACCCTTGATGCTGCACGTTAAGCACGGAATAACAACTAATATTTTCAAGAACTTTGGTATGAAACAAAAAGAATCACCATTGGTCCAGTTACTGTTGCATTCGCGTTCGATTCTAGTGTTGCAGCATTAGTTTGAATAAGTTTACTATCATTTGTTGATTTCTGTGGGTATTTAGCCAATCAGCGTGATCCTTGTAAACAGCATTGCGATACCAGAATTAGTATTATAATCAACTCACTATTCCAAATAGGCTACAGAGGCAATATGATATAAACCAAATCTTCCTACCCGTTCCACTTTGATAAGCTACATGTATGATGTTATACTGTATCTGTAAATTCTGTGCAAATGACTGAATATGAAATTGAAAATATCAAAACGCCAGATTAATCCTCAATTTATTTTTATTTCATGATTTTATAAATGTATATACATGTATAGTGTTGAATAACAAATAAAATATGTTTAAATCAATATATAGTTTGCATATCAGAGATAAATTGATTTGATCAATTAACAGATATGTAAAAATGTGGACATAAACTTTATTTTGTTCTGATCGATACGCATATATTTGATAAATGTTAATATTATAAAAAAAAAAAAAATTGATGATCAATGACGCATTTAAAAATATAATTACTAAAATTGAGCTAATGCATAAGTTTTATCAAATGGTTTATATCAATGTTCATAAAGCACTTTGTGAATAACTTTCTCTTTTTTGGTTTAATGACTAGACCAATATATATATATAAGACAATTAATTGTTTTACCGTTTAATACCATCAATATTTCTCGAGTATGTCAGAATAAGGATATTTTTCACAAGTCCTTCGCATTCCTGAAAATATCTGTATATTCTGTCATAAAAGTGAAATAGATATGGCATTAACATATGTAACCGGAAAACCATTAAACTTTTTTTTAATACTTTTATACAAAGATAGTAGAAAACACTTATTTTTCTGTCGCTTCATCTTCAGCTGTAAAGAATATCTGTGGCAGGAAATAGGAAATATCATTTTGATTGGCTAATATAAAATTGATACTCCACCATATATCATGACATGTGAAAAAAATTAATTTCGTATAACTTAACTGTAAATTTACACGACACTGAATATTATACTGGAAAAATCATCAATAAAAATATATTCTACAAAACAATGTATTGATTGAATGTTAATACAATAGTATAACATATATCAGGGACGTCAAAGCCATAATTTGATTGGGTGGAAGGAAGTGCACTTTTCAGGTATGTGATTACGATTGGGAATTAAAGGAAGGGTCAAAGAGAAAGGAGAGGAACACACCTCATCCTCTTAGCCATATAGCGTAATGACAAGACATGGTATGGTTACATTTCTTATTTGGAATAAAGCGAAACTATAGGTGATTTTATTTTAATATCTCAACAATAATGTTTTTAGACGAGGTGATAAAAGGGCATTCCATTGATAATTGCTTGTAAGTGGGTATTAAAAATGCAGGCGACTACTCCAACTTAATACAGGTTTAAGTTTCTTAAGGAATTTTGAGGCATGGGGGTACTAAAAGAAAAAGTCTGTTTTCTGAGTAGCTAAGGTGTAACTTATCAAGCTCAATGCAACTTCCTAAACTATAGCTGAACTTTGGTTATGCAGAATACAATAATGTCCAAAACGATTAACATTTAAAATAAAAAAAATAAAAAAATATGTTGAGGATGGGACACAAATGTTTGAGGTTATCAATCTTGATGCGTTTCTTTGTATTGGTTTTTACTCTTGTGTATTTTCCACAGAAGACGTTCCGAGGAATGGGTTTTTCCTGTCCTTATTGAAACGTAAGACCATTTCGTAGGGATAAGGTAGTTCCACGCTTGAAGTTTTATCTAGTTCATCCATCTGTAATATTAAATATTCAATCTTGATGAATATGCACATATTTACATTGGAATACATAGTCAATTGATCTATATGATATTTTCACAATTTTTGAAAACATGCCAAAAAGACATACCTTCATACCGACCAAATCTTCAATTTATAATTTAAAATATTAATCAATTATTGACTTTCGTGGAGGTGAATATGTTGTTATATGGACCTACATACATACAGAAAAAAGCCCTTTAATTGTTATATTTAATTATAAAAAAAAAACATAAAAAAAATGTATAGAGGAAAGTATTGAATTTGTTTGAAAGCAATGTGACATTCAACAATTGAAATTACACCATAAAGCTGACCTGTTATTTCTTAAAATAATAACATCACAAATCACCGACTTCCATATGATTATGACACCCCAAAGGATCATGGAAAAATGTGTGTCATATAATATTTTCAATGATACTTGATGGATATCCCAGACCTAACATCGAAGATACACTTTTAGGTCCATCTGTAACTATAAATGTTGGTCTTAGCCAGTTAACTGTGGACTAAAATCAATCTGCAGT